GCTGCGAATCACGCCCAGGGCCTGCATTCTTTGGAAAGCCCCGGTAGGCCGTGGAAATGTCTTCGGTACTCGGCCTGTGTTTCTTTCAACCAACTGGCGCGTCGCAACTGCCTGGACCCCAAATATGAAATTGACAGTCGAGGGCCTCTTGCAAAAAGCCAGGCCCGCCTTCACTTAGGGCGGGCACCTCCGCCTTCACTTAGGGCGGGTAAGGCTGCAGACAGGGCCCAGTAGGCCTACCGAGGACACTGATCCTCGCACCTGAGTCCTCCTCCTCATTTTTCTCTTGAGGCTTGACTCGCTTCTGACTCTTCTGAGTCATAAACACAGTTCAAGTTGTGCAACTTGTGCTACTAACCTGTGCATTTCAACCATTTGTGATTCTGTGTGCAGTGTGCATGCTGGCAGTGACAGCACAGTGCCCATTGCCCGCTGAGGTAATGTATGAATGTACCATGATTTTTTTATTTTTTATTTTATTTTATTTTAAATTTTAAATTTTATTTTATTTTTATTTTTTTGCCGGAAAATATGTCAATCCGGATAGACATCCGGAATGTGAATCCGGAACATTCCGAAGTTCCGAAGTTCTGGGAGGGCCCGGAAAGTCCGGGATCCCGGGCCCGGATTCGTTCCGGGGTCCGGTCCGGTGTAGCCATGCTACATAGTCTTCAAGGGCCAAATCTCAGACTGCAAGTTGCCTTGGCTTCTCATATTTCTTGTTCTTCAGCCAAATTTGACAGGTTCAGCCAGTGGACCTGAGAGGATAGGTAGATGAAGGGCAAGCTGACCGTCAATGCTCCGGTATCGGAGCAATCAATGTTGGTCAGGGGTATTTCCATCGAGGCGGAAGGAAGCATGAGTGCGTTTCATGATGATGTCATATTTCATTCCGATTTGTCAGGGGAATAGGAACCGGACGGACACTCCCCACAATGGATATGGAGCCAGGACCATAAGGACCTGTTAAAAAAAAAAAAATACAAAGTTATCAGGCATTTTTGACCGTTCACACTGCCGCAGCACCCCAGCGATTTATAGAGGGAATTGGCGAAGTAGGCAAACGTAAAACTCCTCAGAAGACAAGACCTCCTTATGAGGCATCAAAACAATGTTCGTGGTGTGCATAACTCAAAACAGAATAGAGAGGGTACCTCACTGGCTGCTGAGTGGATATACAAGGAATTGAGATTGCGCAAACCATCACTTTGACTTTTGAGCGTGTGCGGGGCAGCTCGGCCCATGAAAACACAAAGAAGAGAAAAAAAAATAGAACAGGGTTAACAACGGAGTACGATGGTGACTGAAAGGTACACACCTAACTGTTCACAAACTGGTTACGTGCTCAAATCCGTTTCTGGACACAACTAGAGGCTACCCCTAGAAAACACAGACAAATAGAGGGCAAACGAGCGAGCAAGCAAGACACTCACACACACACACACACACACACACAGGAGAGAGAGAGAGAGAGAGAGAGAGAGAGAGAGAGAGAGAGAGAGAGAGAGAGAGAGAGAGAGAGAGAGAGTTTGCCCATAGCACATCC